CTAATTTCTCACTATCCTACTCTGTTATTAATTGGCAATAAATTAAATTAATTTTCCCAAGTCTAGTCTGTTTTGCCTGTGATAGTAATTGGTAAGTCATCTTCTCCTGTCCTTCTGAGGACAAGTGATAGAGTGCCTTGGTGGTCATGCAGCAACCAGCTAAGGTCAATCCCTCCCCATCCCCAAATAAATAATGCCACCAAAGGAAAACATAGAGAGAAGCATCTTAAAGGAACTGGTGATAATGCTGCAGGTGAGGCACACAGCAGCTTTACAGCTGTGTATAGTTGTTCTGGCTAGTCCTGAGGGCCTGGTTACAGAAAGGACAAAGAACCACAGTTTCCAGGATGATGAACATAACTGCTTCTATGGACTTCAGGCAGAGAAAGAGGTAGACTGCACTTCTGAAAAATCCAACCCTCACCCCTGAGGCAAATTAACAATAACAGTTCATGCTCTAATCAAATAATAATAGCTCAGTTAATGACTTGTGCTTTAACCAAAGTCTGGGACCTGAGAAGATGCCTCCTTATGCCCAGGACACAGAGTGAGGCTGGGGCTGGGGCTCCCTTTCCAGAGGCATTCCCAGCCCTAAAGCAGCATTAGGAAAAAGAGTGATCTGACTTCTTGGCAGCACAAACTGCCATGAGTACATGAGCCAGTTCCTTCCCTAGGACGTGACGCCCTGGATGGCTCTGCTCATGCTGCCTGACAGTGTCTGCTGTCATCCCCACTCCTCCATAAGCTCCCCTCCTCCCTCTACTACTCATTCCTTTGCTCAACGAGGCTGGCATTTAAGAAACACTTATTCCAATCCATTTCTACCCTTGTACAGCAATTGGGTGTCATTTAGTTTGATTTAACCAATTTAGTCCTATGAATTAATTGGTTAATAAGCCATCTGTATGCATCAGGTGACAGAGTCGCGCTCTCACACACAGACATAGACAAGCTACCCACTTGTCCTTGTTTAATAACAGGCTGTAGGGAGTAGGAGCAGGAGAGGAGTGCAGGCTAATTTCACTCCCAGTGGAGAAGTGCCAACAGAGGGTCGTGGTGATCATTGCCCTGACCTTGACCTCTGAGAGGGGGAACTGTCTGTTTAGGGTAATTCAAAAATAACCTACACTGTACTTACAGAGGAGTGCCAGCTACAGGAGAGCCACAAGAGTCATGGATATGTTTCACCTCATAGGTTGTTTTTTTCAAAAGAGACAGGAAAAGAGGTTTAGTTCATGCTTAGCAGACAGTAGAAAATTCTCAGCTGCATTCCCAAACAGTCGAACTTTGTATGTGAGTAGGAGGGGGAGAGGGGTGAGAAGTGGGGGAGTAGGAGAAGAGTGAGGTCTAAAGCATTTGATTTAGGTGTGATCTTTGATTATGAGAAAAATGTCTCATCTATTTTGATTTCTTTTTAAATGTAAAAGAAAAAAAAAGCACCCCTTGCAGGCCCAATCATTTCAATGTTACATACAACCCTCCAAGCTATTCAATAAACAACAATACAGCAAGCCAAAATCAAATCCAGCAACATATCCCAACCCACACAACAGAAAAGCATCAACTGTTCAGACAGAAAAACAACACTCCCTCCCCTGGCTGCCCATCCATCTCAGCCAGCCCTGCATGTCCCAGTAAGCAGACAAGTTTCTCTGTAAACCCTGAAGGCTGACACAGGATTTTCAGACTGAGGGGGAACTGAATTACAGAACTATGAGACCCTTGGGGAAAAGCCCTGCTAGCAGCTCCCTGTCTTTTATGCCCTGAGAGCTACCCTCCCTCTCAGCCACTGCAACTGCAAGAGCTTTATGTGGGGAAGGGGCCACTTGATGGTGCAGGAAGCTCCCAAATGATTTGATACAGTAAATGCCAGAACCTACAAAATCCAAGCCAAATGGCACCACTTTGGTGTGACATGCTGGGCAACATGCTCTCATTAGAGAATTATAACACAAGCTTCTGCACTGGGTGATTTCTAGTGGAAGGTGCAGCCCACTGTAGGCTGCATGGTCCACTATCACAGAACAAACAATGGGCACCAGGGAGAGGCCCTGACTGAGGCTGCTGCAGGGAGAGAAGATGGGGCTTAGCCTATGTTGGGTGGTGCAGAGCAGCAGTGCATCCACAAGGATTTCTCCAGGGCTCTCCCACCTCCTGGCATTTTTCAGTATCTGGGAGAGAAACAAGCAAGCTGCATACTCTGCAAGAGAGACACAAAGTGAGCAGCAGGGACTTAGCTCCGAGGAGAAAGTACTTTCCCCCTCTATCCCTAAGGAAAATGAAATTACAGTGGAGTTGGCTCTAAATGTATCCCATTAGCACAACAGGCACCACAGGAAGAGTAACATCCTCTGTGTGCTTAAGTGAAATACTGACAGGCAAAGCGAAGCAGGCTGAAACAATTCCTTCGGAGAGGAAAGGGGGAAACCTGTTTACCCAGTACACTCAGCAGGAGACTGCAGGAGGGGGCAGAGAAACCTGCCGGAGTTCCCAGTGCAAGCATGCCCTGCCAGCCCGCACACAGCAGGCAGGACAGAGCCTTTACACTGCATGTGTGAGGAGCCCCAGAGTGCCTCGCTGGGGGTTAATCCCTGAAAATACATGCATTTGCTCTCACTAGCATGTGAGTGCCTGTTCCCAGACAGTGTAAAACTATCAAAACATGGAGGTAAGCTGCCCTGCTTAACAACTGGATGCCCTGGCTAAGCCACCTCTGCTTCATCTGCAGCAGGAATGCCTGTGATATCAATGAATGAATATACCAACCCATCCATAACAAACAATTTCACTTGATCAGTGACCACAAAAACCAGAATGTCCCTGCCTGAAACGAGCAAGTGGTGTTACGGCTTGTTTAATGGCTATGCGAAGCATGTGAATCCAACTTCTATGCTTTCCTGCTTAAGCAGCTCATATGCAAAAGGCAGTTATATCACACTGCACAAGAAGTCTTATTTTTGTCAATTGTTAAGGACTCCAAGTGCAAAATGTGTAAAACTACTTAGGAGATTTACGGGTCAGAAAGATTTTATTTTTTTTTTCTTTCCTAGAAATGCCTCACCAGGCTGAGTTCCTTAACATCCACTCATTTAAAAAACAGAGACACCTAGGCTGCTTGGGAGGACTTGGAAATCTCACCAACTGCCTCATGGCAGCTCCCAGTACTGAAACACCTTTGAATTTGTGTGGCATCCTGTTACCCAAATACATTAGTCACAGAGCCAGTGCATCTCTGCCTGCAAGCTTTGCCCATCCAGATGGAGCTGTGCAAATGCTGGTAGCAGCAGAGCAAAGGACAATGGGGAAGCCAGAGAGACCCCCACTGCTGGAGACATGGGTGAAACAGGACAGGGCTCTTAATCCCTAAGATACTGCCTAGGGAGAATGGCACACGTTATGGACTGCTCCGTGTGCAAGCACCACAAAGCTGGACTAGCTAGTGAACACCTCAAGTGACTGAGGAGCCTAGAGAGCGTGGCTCTTTTTGGGAAAAAGAAAACTGGAGTTGCTGTCTGCTGGAGGGATCAAAGAGGCCAGTTGTCCAGCAGGACAGCTGCTGGAGAGACCAGCCAAACTGAGACCCCTTGGTCCTTCCTCTTGCTGTCTCCAACCACATCCTTTCCAGCCTGAGAACTGTCTCTCTTAGTTTCCTTCTCTCTTGCCCTCTTTTTTTAATCCTCCTGACAAAACCTTAAACGGTCTAAAAGCATCCCCAACAAGGATGAGCAAACGCAAATGTCTTAGCAAATGTGTATTTGAGCTCCACATGCTCCCAGGGATGGGGTAGTAATAAAAACCAATTAGATAATGCTCAGCAGCTACAGTGAGAGGGAGTGGTACAATCTTACCACGACTAATACAGTTTTTAATAATAGATGGCTCTCTCTAGTGCTGGAGAAGGGAAGCCAAAGTGGTGTCAGTTACATTGCATCTTTCTGCCCAGTGAATTTCTGTGTGTGGAGGATTAATAATTTGTGAAAGGGGGGATTTACTTGCCCTCCATACTTACTACTTGTACCAGAGAGATCCCTGCAGGATCGGGAGTGGGCTCCCTATGATGGCACATGGCGGAGGAATCCCATAGAGAAGCATGCTGAGCTCACTCCTGCATCTCCTCACATGAGGACACCCAGTCGTATGGGTATCAATATTTGAACAGCTCAGTAATGAAGAAACTGGAAAAGCACATGGTTTTGCTCTCTTGGTATCTCTCACATCCCAGAAGAAGTCCAAAAGCCAAGTTGCAACTGACCACTGAAGCAAGGCTGAAGAAAGCCCCACACACCAGAAGAAGCCACGTGTGCCTGAAGTGGGTCAGTATCATGGTTGGGGTGTCACAAAGCCCCCTGCTTGCATCTCTCCCCACTGCCTTCCGTTTACAAACCTTCACTTCATGCCTCCTTGCTCAAAACACAAACAAAAGCCATGGAGGGCATTTTCTTGTTGCCATGGAAACAGTTGTAATCTCAAACATACTTAATGCATCACTCTTGCTCCTCCAGCACCTTGCAACAGCTTGCTGTTCGATAGGAAAGTTACAAAGAGGGCAGGTGAAAGAGCCCTGACAGCTTCACGTCCTGCACTCAAGACCCAGCACCTCTGTAGCTGCCCATAATCTCCTATCCATCAGCACAAAGACTCTTTCTTTCTTTTCTCCTCTCCTTCTGTCTTGTTTTCTGTTCTTTGGAGTGTCACATCATTTACATTTATGAAAAGAATTTTCCTGGGGGTGCAGAGATAGTTCAAATTGTCTGTGATCAGATCAACCTTGTGCATAATGCATTTGTATGAAAATAAACTCCCTGGGGCCCACACTCATGGCTGAAAGTCTCTGTAATGAAGTATTTTACTCTAATTTAGTTAAAGATGATGGAGATAGGAATGAGTGCATGCCTGCATGCATATAGAGGAGGGGAAGACAGACAGAATACTATACACACACAAAAGCCAATAATTATAAGATGACATGCTGGCTGGGAACACTACTGAAGTACCTCATTATTACAAGAAGTTAGCTTCTCCACTGTTTCCTCTGAAAATCAGTCCTGCCCTGTGTAGCTTCTTGCACACAAGATCTGAACAATCTTCATGTTGATCCTCAGGACTAGTCAGAAAACTAGTCTTCTATCCTGCATTACTTGCTAAGAAAGCATTCCTATTCCACACCCAGACTGAACCAAGACCACATTGGGATAACGGCCTTCCCTGTTCCCGATTCTTCTTTAAACACAAAAGCAAGACATCACCCTCAATTAGAGTTGCTCCTCTGGAACATTAGCCTCCTCTTTTCCAGCCTCTGCTCTCTTTGATTCAGAAGGATGACTTCGCCATAGGGCTCCTTCTCCGTGCCACCAGTCCCAGCTGAGTAACTTGGCTCACAGGTTCCAGGCTCCTCCTGTGTGACCTCTCTGGCTTGGCTAGGCACTTAAACCTAGAAATGTGAAACTTTTCCTGGCAAAACCTTGTTGAAATAGGGACAACTCCACGCAAGATTTCTGTTTCAATTAACCAGTATTTTCTGAGAATAACAACTTTGCCTGCAAACAAAAATATCAGATATCTAAAGATCTGACTCTTAACAAAGCTTAAATTATTTCAATGAGCTTTGGGTCAACTCAAGCACAACTGCAGATAGTTAAGTTCTAGTACACTCTGCCACTGACTTGCTATACTGTGTTGCATAAACCTCTGTTCTCAGTCTTGTTTCCCCACTTGTTCCATGGAGGACAAACTTGCCTCCCTGATCAACAGAAAACCATGAGATTTCATATGTCAGTCCTCCAGGCTTCCAGTCATAGACCTTTTTTTTCAAAGGCTATGTCACATGGGAATAAAAGAAGAAAAAATGCATTCTAGGATCTTTGATGCAGATCCACATGTATATTAGAAATACCTATTTTACCTGAGTCTGTTTTTAATTTTCCATTTGTATACTCTGAGAAGAAAAAAAAACAACAATCAGCTCTTGTGCCTAGATAGGCCTGAAAAAACGTCACACATCCCAGTAAAGACTTGATCTTCTACACAGTAAGAGATGTGATCTACTTTTCTGAAAATACACAAAATACACCTTGAAAATGAAGGCAGAGGACTAAATCCATTCCTGGCAAGAAGAAGGTGCAACTCCCTTTGAAGCAAGAGAAATCAGTGCCGTTGAATTTGTCTCAGGGAGATAAACATTAACAACCAGTCCTTCCCAGAGGACAATCTGATAACACCGAAGTTGACACCCACAAACGTCAAGCAGGATATATTTCCTCCTGTGTGCTGGTATCTAAGCTTATCACCCTATTTGCTTCTTCTCTCCCAAGTCATTTTGCAGGGTCAAAGGCTATCATGGGGCTTTAATTAGAATGCCATCATAATGAGCTGGCACTTAAATCAGCCTGCCAGTGGCTAAAGAAAATTAACCTTAGAGTCAAATGAGCTCTAGTCTGGGAGTTCATGTCACGAGGGGGCAACAGACTCTTTCAGAGCTGATGTGTATGGTGGAGGGACAGAAAGCTAAACCCTGCATTCTTTTCAACCAAGAGATCTATACTGGGCAGATCACTTATCCTAGCTGTCTCTGATGCACAATAAAATCTTTGTACCATATGCTTGCTGTGCCAAGCCAAGGAGAAATCAACAGGGAGAAGTTACCTAGGATGAAACTTCTCTTGGGCTCCTTGAGAAAGGATATGACTTGAGCTCATGTACACCTACGAATGTATCACATGCAACAAACCCTTTCAGTTGCTATGAAAGACTTTGCCTTTATGACTGTGATGATTACATCATTATTATGCAAGAGCCTAGACTGCAAATAAGGGCAGGTGCTTCATCCAGCTCAGACCCCACAAATCTTAGGGAGCAAATACGAGGATATCCCTTGCTGGCTGATAAACAGAAGGAGCATTCACAAGGGTGAATTCACACACGGGAATAACCTCACCCCTAACCTTGCACTTTCTCTTTGCTACTGGTGCCTTTGCAACTGTACTGCCCCTTCCCACATGCATTTTACACCTATTTCTCCCTGCACCACCTTTTGGCACGAGTCACAAACATACTGTATTGCCAGTGAGTTTTGAGTAAGTAGTTCTGAACAGCCAACGGTGTTTTTTCCCAGTGAACCCAGATATTCCCTGTAGTACCATTTTTCTTTATATCCTGAAGGCACCCACTAGCCTAGAGAACAAATCCACTGTGTGTTACTCACAGGTACCGGAGAATTCATAAAGACTTACTGCCTTCCTTAGAGCTGAACTGCCAGTGCTATAATTTTCCACAACATCTCTTTTATGTCACTGCGCTTGACAAATACCTTGTGCATCTTCACAGGTATTTAGGAAATCCTGCCAGTGCAGGCACAGAGAACACACAAATGGACCTAACATCTCCATCTATGCAAGACAGAGCTGTGCAGCAAGAACAAGAGATTTTGCTAACCAAATCTGGCCATAAAGCCTCCCTCGTATAGCAGACTCAGCCCCATCTTCCTTGCCACAAGAGGACACATTTTCCTTTCATTAAGACCAATACACCTCAGAGGCTATTTAAACAACACTTGAGCCTTTCTCATCATGTTTCTACTACAACCATAACTGATCTTTCTCTGAAGGGGAAGTATCCAATTGAGAACCTCAGGAGAAGACTCTACTTATTACATCATAAAGTTTAAAACTGGATCAACTCTGCTAGAGTCAATGCAGCAATAGTAAATTTACAAAAGGGATGCTAAACAGCAGAATTTACTGCAGGACCATCTCTTTAAAGGAAACCTGAAGCCACCTTCTTTTGCAAAAGTATCCTATGAAACATTTGCTTCCTGTGTCGCCAATGACCCCTTCAACTAACTGCTCCTAAAAGACTATCCAACACCTCCATTAATTCTTCTCCAGTGATAGTTTGTGTTTACTTTTGGAGGTCTGACTTCACTGCAGAGGTCAACTTGCTTCCTTCTTAAGAACAATAAAGCTCCAATGGGCTCAGTGTTATAGTTTCCAAATGAATGTGCTAGGAATTTAGACAGTCCAACCCATCTTCAACCTCCTGTAAGGTTCACTCACAGGTTTTCATGGTGTAGAGGCTGTCATCCAGGAGGACTACAAACATCAGAATAGAATAGTTACAGGCATTTTTAAACTTAGCATTATTTGCACCAGGGCATTTAAAAAGAGAGTAATTTTTAGTTTATGTTAAGCTTTAAGTACAATTCACTACATGACTTAGACATAAGTCATGCATTTGGTGACACCTGCTTAAAGGTTCAGCTCCCATGAGGCTTCAAGAGAATGTCAGCTTTCTTTTTTAAAAAAGAATACTATTAACCCCTGGGAGAGTTTTATTAAAAAGCATGAAATTGTAATGTTTGGCTTGACCCAAGTATCTTGAACACAGATGCATGTATTAACAAGGGCAGGTATCTGGAAACTGTTCCTGTGGCATGTGCACTGGAGAGGACAGTGCTGGTCATTTCTGAGGTACATGGCAATTTGTAAATCAGTCTCATGTCTTGGGGCAGCCAAACAACTGATACTGAGAAGGGACATCTCTGAATACCAGCTTTGAAAGGGAAGTAATCTTGAGACATTTTTTTGTCCTTGTAGTTTTCTTCTCCTCTCACCAAATGTTGTAATATATGGATTCAACAGATGGTATGATCTCTTCCTCCCTCTCTCCCCTCAGGTCAAAAAGTAAAATAGTAAATACCACAGTAAGCACTTAATGCAGAAATAAACCATTGCGGTACAAGAAGAAGAAGCTTCAGACACTTCAAAATAAACAAGACATAAGAAAAGTCAAGTCCTCATCCAAGTCATACAGTTCCACAGAGAAAAATTGCATCTCTTTGTGTTTCTTCTGACAAGCAACAGTTTCTCCCTTACTCACAAATAAATCTCAGGCTACTGGAACATCACTGACATTTTCTTTAAAGAGTTTTTAATTAAAGTAACATTAAGCATGCCATGTTCAGTATTTTTCAGGCATTAGGAAAGGCTACTAAAATTACCACTGAGGGGCCTATTAAATATCATCATATGCTCCCAGAGTAACTAATTACAGACATTTTGAAAGGGTCTGTCTTCCCCATCCTGCAAAATTTTTAAACTTTTTTTCCCTGTTTATTTCCTTGCATCAAACAACCAAATGTTAATGACATGCTATCTGGCACCTGTCCTGCAGAATGGGCAGGCATTTCCCCACTGCCCCCAATGGCACCAAAGAGTTTGCTGGCATCTCGGAGCCTAGAAGCAAACCTGACAAGGTTTCTGTTACTTTTTGTTTGTTTGTTTTCCCCTCTGCTTTCTATACCTGATGTTTGCATCACTTGGATGCATGGGCAAAGACCACAGAAGACACTGGAGCTTGGAAATAAAACAGGTACTCTCAGCAATGCAAATCCAAAAGTTTGAGGAACTCAGAAAACTGGAGGCCCTTACAGAAAACCCCAGCCTTCCTGATCTGCATTTGCACAGCACTTCACGTAGAAGAATGACACTGGGTGGCTGCTATAACTATTGCCTACAGTGATTGTGGTAACTAATACCGAAAAGGACTTGGAGCTGAAATTTTCTTTCTGCATGGGACAGTATCAGAACAGAACCAACAATGGTGGTTTATTTTGTAGAACAAGACCTCTATGCTATTCATCTTTTATTCAGAGCAAAAGCAAGCCACCTGCTCCTAGATCCATGCGTAATGCCACACCACACACAGACATCCAGGTGCAGAAGGTATACCCAGAGGCATACTTCTAAGCTTGTTAACTGTGAGGTCAGAGAAACTGGCCTTGAAGCCATCCAGGGAGCACTCAAAATTCAACAGAGAGGTACCCAGACACAAGTGGTTGCTCCCCCTGTCTTTCCATCTCCCAGAGCAAGCACTAGTGTGCTGCTCAGCAGTGCAGCCCAGGTAGAGGGCTGACCATGAGCAGCACAGACTATCTGCTGATTCAGTCCAAACAGGGCCTTCCAGCAGGAATTTGGAGCAATCACAGTGAATGATGTTGCTGCTCGCCTTATGCATGAGGTAGAGCAGTTTCCCCGCTGACCTTTTCATCGCTTATGAGGAGGGCAAGCATTCCAGCACCTACGCCATCTGCAAATTTGGCCTTCCCCTCAAGGATACAAAAAATTAGGTCAGAGGCTTTTGTCTTTCCCTTCCATTCCTGAAAAGCACATTAGGGCTCAAATCCTCAAGACAAAGCATTATTATTATTGTTGTTACTTTTTTATGGTGGAAGAAAATATTAATGTTACAAATAGCTGCCATTAGCATAAGCAAAGCTGCATATTAATATGCACATGTGTGTCTCTACTGTCAGGAAGCAGAGAGGCCCCAGAGGCCCTGCTTTCACTGGGGAAAATGATGATGGCATTAACTCTAATGATAACGATAAGGAGGCTGCCATAAATGATATGACAATTTCTTTTGTATTCCTGTTTGGACAAAGACTTCTTCCTTACTCCCCAGTGTCCATAAAAGGATGCTTTTTGAACAAATGGCAGCTCTACTGATTTATTTAATTTCACCACAGCTTTATGGTTTTCTTAAAAGTGCCAGCTCTTTGGGTCATGTGACTAAGAAACTCGCTTAAGCCTTTCAGATAAATTCCTAATCGCCAAGATTTTGGAGAACTGGATACTAAATAAAAGGAATCCCACATCTATTTATGGTTTTTAAAACCTTGAGACGTTTGAGCCTTTTTGGACTAAGGATACTATTATATCAAAGGACAGCAGGAGCTATGAAGGAAAAAATAAAGGATATGAAAAAAATAACCAGGAAATAAATTGTCTCTGACCTAAGATGTTCCCAATCCTATCACAGCCTTTCTCCCCCTTCACTTATTATTGTCCTTACATGTATTACATCTAGGCTCTGACAGCAGATCTTTGTGACTATGCTATCAATCAGATAAGAGAACTGATCTGGCTGAAGAGTAACAAAGCAAAAGAGAGCATGAAGGGGAATTTCCTACAGAGAGGTTTTGGATGTGCTCAGCAGTACAGACCTGCAGACAGGCATGCTAGTACTGCTGGGAGGGTAGCAAACACAGGATCGAAGCTGCTCTTGTTACTGACAAAATGCACAGTGGACTGAGGAAACAGATGCAGAGGGAAGATCTGGGTTCCCAGGGCCCATGTGTCAAGAGTCTGTCAAACCCCGTGGTGGCTTTTACGGCTGTGGAACAAATATGAGTTTTCTTTTTTTCCTTTAGGCCAGAGGAAAAGCAGAAATTTCTATGCCCAGCTGTGATGTTGAGGCATTGGTTATGCAATAGGACTTGGCTGCAACAAATGCAAAAGCATTTCTTCACTGAACTCTTCATCTGAGCACAGACAGAAGATGATTCTCTCTGGTTCCATAGCTTCTGAACTAATTACACAGCTTTTTGACGATGTCACTGCACAGGGTGTCTCTGCCCTGGAATCATCTGTCATGGCTGCAATGTGCAACAGGGATCTGAATACATTAAAAGTGTCAGGGAGGTGCGGATGCTACGTTTTGGTCTGTCAGCTTCTGCGCTGAAAACCCTATTGAGCTCAGCTAATATACTACACTATCTGCTTTTCATTTTTCACATTTGTTCATGTGATGTACATCCTGAAGCTCATCAGAGGGAAATGTAAGCTTTATACCAGCAATAACAATCTTTGCAGCAAACTCAATCCAAAAAGGACTAGCCAAAACCACAAAGAGCCCTACAGAAGAC